CATGGCCATGCTTTAAAAAGAAGAGAGGATATATCAGAGAAGCAGCACTGAGCAGAAGGGACAGGCAGGATGAGGCAGACAAAGGTGGGGACACCTGCACACATCCTGGTCACACTGCCCCAAGCCCTGGCCAGCAGGGTCCTTCCCTGTCAGAACAACCCAGAGGAATGAACAGCAGCACTTCTGCCAGGCAGAGATACCAAACTAGCAAAACAAAGTAGAAGATAACAAGAAAGAATAGAAGACAGACAGGAAAATCCACTGAAGTAAAACCAGATATTGATTACAAGGACCAAGCTGAGCCACTTCTGCTGTGCCAAAATCAGCAAACTCCTTCTGGGGCTGCATCCCAAAGGGCACAGCACGAGTCTCCCTTTCCCCTGTGCCTGTTCTCTTTTCTCTGCAGTCACACATGCTGAGGCAGCTCAGGCAGCAAAGCTCAGGCAGACCAGCACGAGTCTCCCTTTCCCCTGTGCCTGTTCTCTTTTCTCTGCAGTCACACATGCTGAGGACCAAGCAAAGCTCAGGCAGAGGCTCCCTGCCTGCCCAGCTCAGCCACATCCCACTCTGGGCTCAAGTTTGGGGCCATCTCACACTTTACAGACTGACTGGCTCCTCATCACCAAGGCCAGCAGAACCCTTATGTCCCAGTCATACACCAGCAAGGTAGACCCAGACCTTTACTTTCTTGGCTGCCCAGAGGAAAGAGAAGAGGGTACAAAACCAGCTTGACAGGCTGGAGAGGAGGAGCAGATGCAGCTCAGGTCCAGCTCTGCTGCCCACCCTGTCCCTGCTGAAGCCTGTCTGTGTCGGGATACAGCACCTCCAGGAGAGAGAACTACCCTGCTATGGAAGCAGTCCTCAGGAAAGACAACCAGAGAGAAAGGAAGACAGAGCAGGAAAGGGGGCTCAGCATTTACATCTCTCAGCTCTTTCCCCTCTCGTTTGAAAGGCTTTGGCTCCCTCAGTAACTGCCAGTGAGGAAACAAAGCCACTGGAGGCAGCCAGGGACACCAGGTACCAGAGGAGGGGGGAGGGATGCTCTGACCAGCTCGCTGCTCACCTCAGGAGACACAGGATCACACACAATTTAGGTAACAAGCCAGGGCAGATTTGAGCCTCAGCCCAGCTATCCAGAAAAGAGTTTTAACACAACATCCAGGGGGGCTGCTCAGCGAGGAACAAAACCCAGCAGCACACACAGCTCTGCTGTCACCAGTCCTGCCACGAGTGCCAGCACAGCAGGACACTGGGAGCCTGGGACAGGGCTGCACCAGCATGGGAAATCTCTTGAGTACAGCCTACCCTGGAGCAGCTTTTGCAGCATCTAGGCTGGAAAGACAAAATATGAATTCATTTTTGACTAAAGTCAGTAACTTTTACTTGTTCCAAAAAACTAGGAGAAAGAGAAATGTAGTGTGGTGTAGCAAGAAATGTAAAAACAAAATATTTTTTGTTCTGCAAAGTGAAGAGTCCACTGTAGCCACAAAGATGTCACTAACAGAAAAAAACCCTGGAAATCAGAGAGTTGTATTTTTAGTATAATATTCCTTATTCTAGAAATAATTATTTTAAGAATGTCAATCTACTCAGACAGCATTATAGGGTCCCACATATCATCGTGCCAGTCAGAGCTAAATTAGCAGTGATTTGTGCTCTCAATTATCTCTGAGCTGCGAGGGAGGCAAGGACAGGGAGGCAAAGCAACATGCCCTTATCCAAGTGCTGGGATTTGTTTTGAGGCATGCCTGGAGGAACCAGCCAGCCAACAGGATGCTGCACCACAGGCACCCCGAGGGCTGAACACTGACTTCACCAGGCAGAGAATCATCTGAGCAAGGCCAAGATCCTCCATACAGCTCCAAGCCCACAGTGTTCAGTCATGTGGGTGCCCCACCACAGCCAGTCTGTCTGTCTAACAGGGACATCTGCACTTCAGTGTTTTCAAGGTCTGGACATCAGGAGAGAAGCGAGGTGATACCTCACAGCTGAAAGAAGAGCCTTTGGCATGACTCCCCTTTACATCTCAGAGCTTCTCACCCTCCTGTAATTGCTCTAGAAAAATGATCCCCTTGTGCAAAGGAGGATCTGCATGGTGCAAGCTTGGAAAACCTCCCCAGGGGATTGCCTGTCCACCTGGCAGGACAGAGGGAAGCAGGGGCATTGAACATTTAGTACCCCAACTCAAGGAAATGACTGAAGAGTTAAAAAAAAAATATCTTTCTGGGATGGGCAGCATTCCAGGAAGATAAAATATTCAGCACCGTTATGTTCCTGGACACCATATTTCTGACAATAAATTTCATGCCTCATATGCCATAACAGTTATGATTTCAGGCAATAACCAAAGAACAGCTCTTCACCCTTTCACAACAACCCAAGAAAGAAAGATTTGTAAGTAAACCTGGCAAATCTCAGAGGAGGGTATTTTTTATTATTCTTTGGTCTGTCACTTTGGTAGTCAGGCCTGGAAAGGGAAGATCTATTTCTGGCATGGACCCACCTCCAGTGCTTACAGCTTCATAGTCCCATGAGAGCTGGCAGTGGAACCCACCACTTCACAACCCACCAAGTTCAGAAGGACCAGTTCTGTCTTTATTGACACTGGAGCCCTGTTCCCCCCCACTGGAGCACTTTTCTAATATCACTATGCACAATGAACCAGAAGTCCCCTCTGCAGACATGTCCCAGGCCAACACGGCAAGCCCAAAGAGCATCAGCAACTTTTAGCAAAAAACAGGCTCTACTTGCTTCATTTTCTTTATTCTTCCTACCCTGCATGGGTTTACTCTTGATTAATGATGAACCTTCCTGTGAAATCCCAGTGGGTGGAATTAGCTTCCAGCTATACCATGTTTCAGCTCCCACAGCTCCTCAGGGGCTCTTCCTTCCCCCTCTGCCTGCTCACCTTCTAAATTTTGAGTGTGGTTGCAGGAGAATGTGGACTTTTTTTAAATCTAACTTTTTAAATCCATGTCTCCAAGTAGGTTACAGTGCCACGTTATGACATTAGACAGCTCCATACTGTAACCCCAATGAACCTGTTTGCAGCTGCTGGGTAAGGACTCCCTGCAGGTGCAGCTCTGAGTTCCTCAGGGTGAAGCACTCCATGCCATTTTCCATCAGTGAAGCTGTGCTAGTGTGCACTAGCAAGTGAGGGGGTTCTTAAGCATCATACATTAGATATTGCATCTATGAATCAAACCTGAACTCCACATCCCAAGCTCTCCCCTAGAGATCAGCAGACAGCCTCCACCAGGCCTTTCTGGTGTTCAAACAGCTGCAGAGTAGAATTTTCAGTAGCTCATTTCTTGGCTTCAGCTGGTTTATGCATTTACTAGATACAATAATTAGCTTCCTCCCTTCACAAGAAGATTCCAAAACAGATTTCAAAAAAGCCCTTTCAATCCCTCTGTAGTCAGTGTATCCAGTATTAATCCATTGAAGTACTGCATTATGTTCTACCAGGAGAATTAAACAGGAAAAGTGGGAAGCTCTCTTACCTGTAATTGACTGACTGGCCAATAGGAGTCAAGTGCTGGCAAATTGGAGGTGTAATTTCTCTTTAATTATGGCATTAAAAAAATTACATGATACACCTATTTAACATGCAAAGGAGTAAAATCAAAGCTAATAAGAATAAATTGTAAGAGAGAACATGTACAAAAATGTAGTAGCAATCCTTTTGTTTTTTATGATTGTGCTCTGCTGAAGAGAATGCTGGCTGCTGCACCATTGTATTGCCTGGAAAACATCCCCAGCTCTAAGACCCTGCCAACATGCAAAACTGCATTGCACAAATGCATGGTTACATTCAAAAATATCTGCTGAAACCCAGGTGGGTGTATATGCTTTTCATGCTGCACATGAAGTTTATATCAATCCACCTGAAGTTCAGTTGAAATGAATGCACACAAAGCCCAGGTACACCATTCTAGAGCTCAAATATGAACACAAATGAATGGATGAACCATGAAGAGTATTTCAAGCCTTCAGGTAAACTCATTTCAAAATGCATTTAAAAGAAAATAGTGTGACTTCTGTGTTTAGACAATGGATTACAACCAACAGTATAAAATATCAGCAGTTCTGTTTAAGCCAATACAGCTACTAGTGCAAGACAGACAGTAGGAGTCCCATAAAAGTATTGGCGTCTGAGAAGAACATGTCACTGTCACCAGAAAACACAAATACACCCATGCTTTTTTTCTGGGGTAACATATTTATCACTCAAGAGAAGCCTATTTTCTTTAGATTAACACCATAACTGTTATTCCAAATTGCTCAACTTCAAATCAGCTAGTCAGCACAAGAGTGTGGGCAAGGGGAAACAGGGCTTTATGGGGAAAGGGAAATGGGGAAGGCTTCAAAGGCTGTTTGATCCCAAACCTAATAAACCCCGATGAAGCTGTTCTGTAACTGCCCTGACCCACCCCAGAGCACTGCTGCCAGGAGAAGAGCAGTCTGGCCTCTGCAGCCTCTGCATCCTGGTGCCAACTCAGGGAGCAGGAGGCAGATGCCAGCATCAGTAAGTGAATTTTGTTTTCTGGCACTTGGAAACAGTAGCCAAACAACAACTACAGTTTTACCTGCAATGTATATTTAAAAACAAGGAGCTTCCAATGGCTAGCAAAATTATCTTTTCAACATTTCCTGCTTTGCCAACACAAGTTTAAATTTAAAACACAACCTTCAGTCCCTGGAGGAAAGGTTCATTGAATTTATTACTTTTTAGTGTGTCATATAGGAAAAACCTGAGAGGTACATGCTTAGATAGCAGTGACATGCAGCCCCAGAGACAGACACAAACCACACTCACTCCCACAGACTTGATAAATGTATCTGATTGCCCAGGAACCAGAAGCAAAGCCAGCCATGACCCTACCCATGGAGTGAGCTGAGAGGGTGACGGAGTGCAAGTGTTCACACAGGTGATTTCTGCAGATGAGAACATTCATGGCCACAAGAAAGGCAGCACAGGTAAAAGAAAGACAGCTTACCTTTCTGAGCTGCTGGACTCCACCAAATATCCTCATCACTCCATCAATCTCCTGCTCCAGCCTCCTGGCCCAGTACTGCATACTGCAAGAGATGGAGGGAAAGAGAGAAAGAGAAAGGGAGAGAAAGAGAAAGAGTCAGAGCCCTGACACTGCGCAGATAAGCAAGGGACTGAAGGGAGAGGGAGGAAATCAGTGCCTCAGCTAAGTTCACTGCTCTCTCTCTGCAGCACCGAGGGCAGGGCAGAGTACCAAGAACACACTGCTTTGAGAATTACAGCTGGGGCAGGTTATAAACTTCAAGACTTCAAAATTTATGCACAAGGCACCACGGAGAGAAGAGGGGAGAAAAAGGTACAACAAAAACTGCAAGGCTTGAGGCTTTATTTTCTCCTTATATAAACATTTGCAGTAGATAATTATTTAAGCCCAGAGTGATTAACAAGGTCGAAGTGCTGTGGAGTACAGAAAACAGCTTATTGCTTCAGCAGGGCTTTGTGGCAGAGAGCAAACCCCGAGCCACGGCAGGGCCAAAGGTGTCTTGTCCTGCTGCAGCAATGGATTATCACTGCAGCACCACGGGAGAGACCTGGGCACAGCCAGGAGCCAAGCACAGAGCAGCAAGTGCCCAAGGGCTCAGCTGCTTTGCACCTTCAGCAAAGCCAAGCTGTGCCAGGCATCGGCTGTGCCAGGTGGGCAGAGGGAAGGGCCGGGAGCTGCCGCTGGCACCTCCTTCATCCCGAGCCCTGTACAGAGAGGGAGCTGCCAGGCCTTCCACAGGCACAACACCTTCTATACACTCAGCCACACAGATTGCTGCCTACAGCAATAACACCAAGTCAAAAACAACAACAAATAAACCCTCTGCTAAATCCACAGAACTTGATAATTCTCCTTCTTTTAATGAGATTTCCCGGCTTCAGCCGCTGCCCAGGCAAATGTCAAATCTCCTGTCTGACCTGGAAAAGCAACACTCAATTGCCTCTGCACCACTTGGCACTGCCTTCAGTGCTTTTTTCACAGCAACATTTCTCTCTCAATGGATGCCACAAAAAGGAGGAAAGGAGCAGAAGGAGTAGAAGGTAAGGCCAGAGGCAGGGCAAAGTGCTGGTGGGAGGGAGCAGATCAGCTCGGGGAGGTTGCACTTTCGTTAGGTTCACCTAATGATTTCATTCTTCATTCAAAGAGACATCCCCCCAGCAGCCCACATGCACTCCCCCACAACCCCCAAACCATGGAGGGGCTCTCTCAGAGATCAAGGAGCAAAGAAACCCAACTATTTTTCAGCTCTGAATTACACAGCACAGCCCAAAAGCTGGGCAGAATTATGAAAGCAGAAAGATGCCCTGAGCTGAGGGGCAGAGCAGAGCTGGAGCATCACTTTTGAGGGGTGAGGGACCAGCAGGACAAGGGAAGGGCTGGCAGATAGATGTGTATTACTGAGGCAAAATTCATGCCAGTCAATAGCATACAAGGCTGTGGGTGAAAACAAGATTTAATGTGCACGCCAAGCCTTCTCAGTTTTCCAATGTAACTTATGCCATTTCCCATCTTCCCACAGAGGCAATGCTGCCTCTTGTCCCTTGGAAGCATGGCTGGGAGGGGAAATTTAGGAAATGAGTGAAGATACCAGCAAACCCCCTATTCTGCCAGAGGAGAGAGAGCAAAGCCTTCAGTGGGGCTGCCAGTGTGAAGGTACCAGGTCACAGACAGAACTGAGGGGAGCGCTGGGTTTGTGGGTTTTTGTTTCTTTTCCTTTTCCAGTCAAATGTTTTATCAAAGGTATAAGTCAGGTTACCCTGAGTATCAAAGTTACCCACAAATCTTCTGAAGTATTTTCACCAAAAAATATCTATCTTTACACAAGTCATTCACTTAAGAAAAAGCCTTGAAAAACCAAAATTGAATTTATTTTTCCCCTCCTCCAGTTTGTCCAGTGAACTGAAAAAAATCAATTATATGCTCATACTCAGCCACAGGTCTGAGAAACCCCACCGAGCACTTATGGAGCTGACACTTTTCCTTAACTTCCAGCTCTGTACAAGATCCTCGATTTCAGTGACACCTGCCTGTGTCAGCTCTCACCAGGAACACCTACACCACCACAGCAAGGAAAAATTACCTCCCATCTTGAGCTGCATCCATCAACATTAGCAACTGCTCCTATCCGCTTAAATGTCACGTATGGCCAAGCCTTCAGAAAGGATTAGTTAGAGAGGAAGACAGAGGCATCAATATTACTCTGTTGGCATATGCTAAAGAGACACTGAGCGCTCAGTTGAGCTGGGATTTACAATTAATTTAAATTTAGTCAGCAGATTTGTTTAAAAAAAATTGTTTTAACTTATTCCACCCCCTGCCTCCGCCCCAAGAAGTACTACTATTTTAGAGAAAAGTCACTGGGTTTTTCATTCATGAGAATAGCTGCAGTTCCCTTTAACTGTGCACTCCTATGATACCTGACTCTCAGTCTTACAGAGCAGCAGTTTCCCAAAGAGTCCAGCTAAGCCTGGTGACATCAATATTAAAAAGAAATAAATACACGTATTACACTATCAAATAAAAAGGACAGCATTTTGGCATAGCTGACACCAGGTTTCCAGATTTTAAAAAAAAAAGTAATAGCAGAAGCAGCTTCTTTTTTTCTAGTGTAGTATGGCTATCCAAGAACTTTTGCCAGTGGTAGTAAAAATTCTTTTTTCTACCCAGCACATCCCTCACCCACATCAAAGCACTGGCAGAACTCTTATCTGATAAATTGCTATGTTCCTCTACCCTGGTAATGTCCAAGACAGAAGTCTGCAGAGTGGCCACATCCCAAAATTTGGAGGTTTCATGTCACTTATCATATACTGGGTTGAAAGTTACCATTAAAAAAACCCCAAACATTAAACTAATGTACTTAAAATTGTATGTAAGTTGTCTGTAGCAAGGCTGCAGAGGGTAAAGAAGCTGCTAGCCCACGATGGACATGGAGATTCCTGTGTGCAGCGTGCCTCCTATGGAAGCTGTAAGCAATAAGGCACGGCAGTCATTGCGTTCCTGGGCCATTACTGCACGCCTCAGGTGCGCTACAGGGCTCGATAACTCCTTCAAACATGCTGCCAGGAGTCCCTGCTGCTCTTGTGAAATGTCATTTACAAATAAAGCATAAAGAACACAGCTGATGCTCTGGCTGGGAAGCCACTGGCACGGCTGTGGTGGTGCTCACGGAAAGGCAGCAGGCTCTTTACGAGCCATGTGCACAAACCTCCTAAAACCAAGCACCACTTTGGTGTCCACTGTAGTGAGAAAACATGGGCCAGGAGAAAACCTTGGAGCTCAAGAATTTGTGATGGCACTTAATAGCTCTGTGCCTGCATGGAAAGAGCCTGGACTATCCCCTGTCCTCTCTTGGGCAGTGACATGCCCAGCACATCTCACTCATCCCCATTGTCTCAGCAGGCTCTCCTGTTGCTCAGGAGTCTCCATAGGACTTTCCCAACCCAACAACTCTACAGCTGTCATATACACATTCAGGACATCAATAAAAAATCTTTAGGATTGAAAAAAATGGTTGTTTCATTCACCTGTAAATATTACAGCCTCGAGTGCAACGTTTGCAAGGGAGGTAACTGATTTTTGAAAACACACCATTTATCACTGCCTCTCTAAAGAAAACTACAAAAATGTTAATTGATTACATAATTTGCATATTTGATTTTTCTTACAGATGATATAAAGTAGGCTTTAAAAAAGAAGCAGATATTCAAAACTATTTACTGTGTCAAGCAGAACACCAGGAGGCAAATCACTGCTGCTGCAGTTGGGACCAAGAAGCAAAGCATCCCACGTGTCCCAGTCCTTCTCAGTGGGCATCTGTGCCTTGCCACTGCTCACAGCAGCCCTTTTTTAGGATTAGGGCATGTTCCATGCTTCAGGTCACCCAAGCAGTTGCAGAGACTTCCATGTTGGTGTCTGAGGCTGTACTACTGCTCCAGCTGTGTAGCTTCAGAAGAAAATTATAATTGCCTGGAAAGACAGGAGACAGGCTGTGCTTGGCCCGATCCTCCCACACTTGTGCACACATCAGATGGCAGCCTGAGAGTCCTGGTCTTCTGTATAGAAACTGGAGACACTCACAGAGAAGCCACCAGTGCAAGCCATGCCCTGCCAGCCTGTGGCCAGCACCAGGGACGTGCCACAGCAGCTCAGCCCAAAGTCACTCTGTCCCTTGATGGCTCTGGGTACATGGGACAGACCCTTCAGGGGCTGCAGTGACACCTCCTCATGGCTAACCTAGGGGTGGGCAAGGCAGTTACACAAACCATTAATGAGTATAAGCCTCATTGCAAGGCACCTCTCACAAAAGCACTGGGAAAAGAGAAGCAAGAGGAAAGAAAATTAGTTTTCTGCTTGAGGACATTTTTTACTTAAAAGAAGCCTTAGGAGAGTGCTTGTTTGGCTGTGAACAGAAGAGGATGTTAGAAAAAAAATAAAACAGGAGAATTGGTCCTTTTCTTTTGCTGCCTTCCTGGCCCCAAAAATAAGAGAGAGTCACAGAAACACAAAAGCACAAGAGGAGAAGCTACTTGCTAAGTGGATCTACTGCCCCAAAGCTTATTGGGTTCTACACAGAGTGTGTTCTGAACAAGTGTCTACACTTCACGCAGTGTGTTCAGCCAAGAATGCTTCACCCTGATTCATAGGCTTTGGTTCAGTGCCCAAATATTGCTATTTAATAAGGTTATTAATTACTGTGTTGTCTAATTTTTGCTGTGCAGGAACTTCTCATAATTGGCTTATTCCTTCAAGATGCTTAATCCTTTAACTATAATAGCCTGTGTCAGTACACACATGTGCACATGTGTGTGTGCAGGATATGCCCCCTCTGAGCTCTCTTGCATACCTAGGCTGTAAAAAACCCACGTGAGCAAATATTTACCCATCAAGGAAAAACAAGTTGCCTTTTTATTTTATCCTGAAGATACAACTTAGAGAGAACACCTGTTTCCTTCCAAATAACTTACTGACCGTGCTTCCAGACATTATCAAGCCTCCCACATTGTCATTTTATGACTGTGTTTTAATTTAAAGTATGTGCCC